GCGACTGGTTGGAATATAACACATAATTCCAACTGTAATAGTAATCAATTTCAATGTCAATAATAGGTCAAACGTGTTTGCAATTTTTAGTACCGATAATATTCATCAATTCCTCCACATTATTATTATCATTATTGTTAGTTCTTTCAATGAATGTTGAGATTATAGTATTATTGCAAACTATTATTCATTTACATGATTTAACTTCTAATATACTATTTATAACATTTAATTTTAAAACTTTTATATTTCTCCTTTTATTCTTACATATTATAATAAGAAATATTTGTACTTTTTTTTTTAAAAAAATAATAATGACATCCATGATACATATATAATATTGCATTACATTTACTTTTTCATTAAGAAATCTATGATCCTTAATTTGAAGAAATTAATGCGCGTATCACTGAGAAAACATCATCAGAAAGCACTAGTACTAATATTATATAATACTGTGCGTTTTTTGATTTTATCATTTTTTATGGCTTTTTTTTTATTCTTATATGATAGATTATTATATATCTCGTTTTTTATTGACAATATTTGCCTAAATTCTAATTATGTAATCCTATTACTTATATTCTAAATTGTTTATAAATATAAACGAAAGAACTTTGTTAATTGTCTATTTTATCAATTTTTCTTTAGACCATTTCTTCTTTCAGACTTAATGCAAAAGAATTCTTTTATATAATATTTTGATAAACCCTCGATATACCAACCTAGGCAATACCTTTTTTGTGGTTTGCTGATTAATTTGATTAATTGTTAATAATTTCAGGGGTCCCATCACTAAGTATGGACTATTTGTTATGAAAAAACCATACATGTATATTTTGTTGTCATACAATTATATGTTCGTCATTCGTACAATACAGGTCACCTGATCGTAAAGTACAGTTTAAAATGTCGCATTCTCGTGACATTTTGACCCGCATTATGCATCTACATGTAATAATGCCAGATTTACCGGTGACAAATAGTTATGTGACAAATAGTAATTCACGCCGTGTGAAAAAACTAAGTTTTCCAGATATTTATAAACGAATTGCGTCAGATGCCGACTGGCCTAAATTATGAGCCTATTTTTGGGCATATCTTATAATGCCTTAAGAAGGTTTGGCCAGCATTAGTCTTCTGACGCATGTTAACTGCAAACCGACATCTGACGCACATGTATACCCTGTTAAATAATTACTTTTAAAAGAATGTCATTTACATTTTTTTTAAAATATATAATGTATAGCCATAGTTAAAATTTTCCTTTAAGACTAAATTCTTTATAGTAATTATCTTTAGTAATCATGTTCAAGAATTCTTTAATATATTTAGTATTGTGGTTAATTGAAGTGAACTGCCAATCAAATACTTTTAAGCCACCATTTCGATTCTATCATACTGCTACATACGTTGATGATAAACTATATATTTTAGGCGGTCAAACAGAAAATGGAAATCCTGAAAATTAAGAAACCCAATTCTTTTATCTTGATGTGTCCGTTCCATTCTACACGCAAGGTTAACATGGAATGACATATCAAGCATTAACATCATTCCAGGGCATATTGCCGCTACATCTGCCACAAGTGGCGTAAATAATAATACATTTTTTCTATATGGAGGGTTTTCGCCTGATCAAATGGCTACAGTGTATACATTTGATACACGAAACAATAAATGGAACGTTGCTCATGTTAATTATAACATTCACAAAGACAGCCTAAAAGGAATCGTGAATAATGGAAAAATGTATTTATTCAGTGGTTTGGTTAAAGGTGTACAAACCAACGATATGCTTATCTTTGATACCATCAACTATAAATTTTCATTCGGTAATTTGGATAATGCCCCATCTCCGAGGAGACATTACGGCGCAGCTTTGTTGGACGTCAATTCATTGCCTATTTCGGTAGACAAAGATTTCTTATCTGTGTATGTATGTTGTATTGTCAATTATAGGATTTTTATCCCATCTTATTTATTATTTAGGTGGCGAAACTAATATCCAATTATTGATGAGCGAGGTGAATTATCAATTGTATAATCTTTTTTAGAAAAGGAATTCTAAATTGACAGTAATAATTAATATTAGATCTACCTCTATGACACAATTAATGATAATTGGACCATTAGAGTAAGTTTTAGTAATATATTGGAGTTAAATATCTTGTGATTTAAATAATTATTTATGCAGTTAGCTACGGGAAAAATTCCTATCAATAGGTCAGGTTTCTCCACCGTTCTTGGTAAGTATTTTTTACAAAATTGGATTGTTCGCAATTAATTAATCACGGTATATTTTAAAAGGGTTGGACCGACAACGATTAATAATTTATGGAGGATATACCGGTACAGAAACAGACCCTAACAGTGGGCTCTATGTATTAAATTTAACAAGTTATGAATGGTCCATTCCAAATGTTTCTGGAAACAATCCACTTGTCAGATCTTGGCATCAAGCAAATGTGATTGGAAATATATGGTGGTAACATTTGGTAATAAAATATATTTTAAATTTTAAAAATATGATAATCCGAATTAATACTAATATATTTAATATATTATAAAAATAGGACGTTATAATTTTGAAATTTAGATACGAAGATAAAAAATGATGTTTTATTGCTTGATATTCTGATAATGACGAATATAAGTGGGTAACCTTCTTTGATGCTAAACCTCCTCCTGAAATAAAATCACCGACACAGACACCGCAATCACCATCACATTCATCATTATCTTCATCATCATCTTCGTCATCATCATCGCAACAGTCCAATAGCACGTTGATTGTGTAATTTTAGGATTTATAAGTGCTATTATTTTATTATGTGGTGGTTTCTTTTATATAGAAGGAATAAATATAAGCGAGCAATACCAATTCCGGGGGAAAGAATCCATAGCATATATTCATAATAAGTCATTCAACTTATGGATTAATCTTATTCAGTTTAGCAGAGTGATTTTTAATGATATTTTTTTCTTATTTTATTAAAGCTATCGTTTGGTACTAGATATCCTGATCTCAAAATTTTTATAACTATACAGCTGTCCAAATAAATTTGACATTCATGATATTAAAATTTCAAATTTTCAACATATCGTAACAAGTGAGATTACCTAAATCTATGTTGTCTTATTCTATATTTGTATAATTAATCATTCACTTGTACTTAAATTATATTTTGGAGAAAAGTGTATATTTTCCTGTAGAAGGTGCATGATTGCCCCGAAAAGAGGCCAATCAAAAATGGAATAAACGCACATATGGTTCGAACACGATCCATTAATGATATTACCTACGGAGATTAGGAATTAGCAACAAGGGATTAGCAACTCTAGCTCATTTGGTAAACCACGAGTCTCTATTGTAGATTACTCTACAAAAGCCATAAGTTCAAGCCTCAGCCGAGGTATAATACAATATAATTTTCATACAGGATATGCAGGCATACATATATATAAGTTAAATATGATTTTGCACTTATATTAGGCAAACCAAAATATGATAATTTTAAAGACAAAACGCAATTTGATCAAGCATGAAGTGCAACATTTATTTATTTTGAAAATATGATTATTGTAATTTATTCAAACTTTTTAATGAATAATTTTTTTTTTGGGTTTTTTCGACACAAAGGGCTTGATTCTGCCTTATATTAGGATAATTAATCATTTTAAAATAAGCAGGCGGACATGTATATATCACTATATGAAATATAAAAATTGACGCTGTGCAATTCTTTTTTTTTTTTTAAAAAAAAAAAATGATAACAATTTGATTCTTTAGAAAGAATATTTAGAATCAAATAATGAGGTAGAAACTTTCACCATTTTTTTTTTGTTAAAGTATCAAACTAATTTTTTTTAATAACTTTACTATCACCAATGATAATATGATGGGATAAGATTAAAAAATCCAATTATATAATCAAGCTAATGTTCTAGAAAATGAGATATCATACTTTAACTATATCCTTGACCACTTTATCACATGAGTAACCTGTAAACAATTATAAATTAAAAATAAATAAAAATAATAATCTTGTATGTATATATTATTTACATTTTTAATCACAAAGTAAAAAATATTTCATAAATAAATATAGTCATTATACTAACTTGTGTAAATTCTCCTTCGTTACATTTCAATCGACATATCAGATATCTGCATGCTAATTCATGCGCTTTGGCAAATACACTACAAATCCAAAATTAAATTAATTCATCTATATTTAATCTTAAAAAAAAATAAAAAAAAAATGATATTTATTAACCAAAATGTTGGCTTTTGTGAAACTCTTCATTGCATCAACCCTTTTTTAAAAAGGGTACAGAAAATCTACAATGTATAACCAACATCTAATTTTTCTGATGCACTTTTATGCTAAGGCAGGCATACACGTTGTTCTTTAGATAATTTGACTCCAGGAAAAAATCACAGTTTTTTACTGTTCGATTTGTACCATTACCATATGAATATTGGATATTAGTCATCGAAATACATGCTTTATCTTTATCCATCCTGATACATTATATACACTTGCAAAATTCTAAATAAGGCCAGGCAAAAAAATTTTTTAGATTCTCGTGACCCGACCGCCTCAATTTTTACAAAACTCATGATTTTTTTTATAGTAAAATTTTTATCACGTGACTTTATATAATGAAAAATCGTAATATAGCATATACTTTATTATAAAAAAATTTAACATACTACCGTATTTTATCGAAATTAAGCACCCCCTTTTTGCAATAATTTTGGGCGAAAAGTTTGGGGTGGTGCTTAATTTTGATACTTTTTTTAAATGTGGTAAAAATCAACGTTGGGATGTGGATCCTGATATTTTTGAAATAAAAAAATTTTTTCTTCCAATGATTTTATTACCGAACGAACTTCTGAAAAATGGCCTAATCTTTTACCAGAGAGCAAAAAAGTGTTTAACACTAATTTTACATTGATTTTATTGCCAAGTTTTACGTTTTCAATGACATGTTGAACTTTTCTTTGGATTCGAAATTTTTGAGATATTCATCAATTCATTGTTTGAAATCTTGGAATATTTGTTGAATTGTCTTTCTAATTTTTTTATCATCATAAAAAAAATCCCTTTACTCTCTTATTTCTTTAAATTTTTCTCCTTTCTTCTCTTACATAATACTTACAACCAGATAATAATGCCAAAAATGAAAAAAAATTTTTTTCGACTATTTTTTTTTCTTAGCTAAGCCACACACATGATCGGGTTTTAATTAAGGGGGTTTTTTTTTTCAATTACGCGTTAACGCGAACTTCAAATTTCATATAACCTTTCTGAAAACCTTTTTTTAAAAAATGTCAAAAGTTATTAAACGTCAACGTACTTCATATTCTATTGAGTAAAAAAAAACTGTTGTTACTTATGCTATTCAACATGGAAGAAATGCAGCAGGCAGACATTTTGAACTTGATCAAACTATGGTTGGGCGCTGGATTAAGGCAAGCAAAACTTGGACAAGTGAAATAAAAGATAAAAGTATGCAAGTGGGTTCCAGACGAAAGGCTTTCTATCCTGAAGCTGAAGAGGAACTATATAATTGGGTTTTAGAGCAAAGAAAAAGGGATTGGCTGTAACATTTGTAACTTTAAGAATTTTGATGTTTGAAATTTTGGAAAGAGCAGAAATGATAGTTCTTTATGGTGATTTAACAACAGAGTTTAAAGCAACTACAGGTTGGTTAAATATATTTATGAAGAGGTATAATTTATCTAGGCGTCAACGTATTAAAATATCACAAAAACTTCCTGAACAATTGGAAGAAAGATTAGAAGAATTTTACCGATTTGTTATTTGTCTTAAAATCCAAAAATCTTTTGAATTATGTAATGTATTTAATATGGATGAAACACTAGTCTGGTTTGACATGGCTGGAAATTTTACCATTAATACGAAAGGAGAAAAAACTATTTATATCTGTGGAACAGGCAATAAAAACAACTAGTTCACTGTTGTTTTGACATGTGCTGCAGGTAAAATTTAATGATTTTAATATAATTTTCAATTTTTTAATTTTTTTTTTATTACAAATGGAACCAAATTACCACTAATTTGTATTTTTAAGGGAAAACAAATGCCGCATGAAGAAAAGACTCCTTCTGGTATAATTGTATGGTTTCAAAAGAGTAGATAGATAAATGCTAACTTAATGAAATATTACATTGATTATCTTAATCGTATGAGAAGTTCAAATAGCCAATCCAAATTTTCAGCTATGATGGTTTATGATTCTTTTAGAGGACATTTAGAAGAATCAGTCAAAGAAAAATTTAATAAAAGCAATATTGATTTGGTAATAATTCCTGGTGGTTTAACTAGCAAATGTCAATCACTTGATATTGCTATTAATAAACCATTTAAGGATAATCTTCACAAAGAATGGCATTTTTGAATGTCTAATGGTGGTGCTAGATATACAGAAACAGGAAATCTTTGACGTGCAAGGATAAGTGATGTTTGTGGATGGGTAAAACGCGTATGGGAAAATATTTCTAATAATATCATTATTCATTTCTTTAAAAAATGTGATATATCTAATGCTTTAGATGGATCTGAAGATGATGCTATTTATGAAAAAATAGATGAATTTCTTAAAGAAATTGAAAATGAAAAAGAGGAGGAGGAATTTGAAATTGTTAATATGAATGATGATTAGAAATTATTTTTTTACTATATTTTATAATTCATATTTTAATAAAGATTAATAAAGTATAAAGTGCTTATTTTCAATAGTGCTTATTTTCAATTTTTGCATAAAATTACACAAAACAAGGGGGTGCTTATTTTTGAGGGGTGCTTAATTTCGATATCGATAAAATACGGTAGAACAATACAATATTTTCACAATTTTCAATTATAATATACTAAAATAATGCATTGTATCATATAACACAAAGTGGTCAGGCTTATAATTTGATATATTATTAATAATATTTTCATTTTTTGTGCTTAATGCCCTTCTTGTTTAAAAGAATCTTAGCGTTGAAGTTGATATAAAATTTAATTTATTAAAATGAAAACATGTGTAATAAATGAAAAAACTTTTGAGAAACATTCCTCTTTACATTTTAACGATAATCGAGATTCATATTCAGAACAATTTGATAATAAATCTAATACAACTTCAGAATTTTTTGTTGAACTTCCTAAATTACAATTATTTGAATTTAGTGAAGAAAATTATATTAAAGTACAAATAGCACTTGAACGAGAATTTGTGGACCAGTTAAGTGATGAAAATGAGGAAGACTTTGATGCAGATTCAAAAAACCAAGAAGTTCCTTTACTTCCAATACCAATTGAAGAAACGAACGAGCCTGTATATAAACCTAATCTGACTGTAAAAGCCAATTTTTCACCATGTGTTCTAATCGACTATTTAGATAATAAGTTACAAATGTGTGGTCAAACTGGAAATGTTAGAAATATATGCCAGTTAGTTGGAACCTGACAAATTGATGAAGATGCGATATTAAGATTTGAATCAAAAAGAATATCATTAGGGTATATATGAACTATAGATGAGAGGCGAATTCTCTTAATAACAGTCAAAACTTAGACGAAATTATATTAAAATCATAATAAGGGATACGACGAAATCCATTTGATATGATGAAAGCCAAAACTGTTGAAACTATATGAAAAATATAGAAAAGGGTATAACGAAATTATTTTGAGAAGGTTTCGGCATGTATCTATAGTATGAACCATTTTAATTATGATCAAAAAAATCATAATGCATATATAAAACAATTGTGAAGTCCTGAACAGAGTAAAATTTGCCACTGACGTTGTTTATTATGTTTTAAGAATTTTTATTTCTTTAGTCGTAGAGCTAGATGTAAAGATTATTTATGGAGAATATGGGAGAAATATATTCAAATTCCATATATTAGTCTTTATTCATGTAATGCAATACATGAATGCCAAGATATTTCCAAACAAATTTTTGACGATATTTCAACAGTTCGATATATTTATTATAATTGCTATAAATCTCATGGTGGGCATTTGAATCATCGATCTGCTGGCAAATGAAAATCTACTTGTAAACAATATGGGTTACATAAAGATGATGTATCTGAAAGTTTAAAATTATTGGGTCAATGGCTCACTTATATAGCTAGTACTGAAACAGAAGAAAAAAAGGAAATAATTCTTGCTTCTATGTTAGTTCTAACCTTAAATTTTTTATTTACTTCATATAAAATTCCTTTAAAGTATGAATATTATAATCCTAAGAATAATACACGTTACCCAAATCCTAATGAATTTATTAATATAAATACTATAAATTTTAATGATTCAACTAGTTCTTTAGTTAGAATTTTATCCAAATTGCCTAGTTATTTTTTTTGAAATTATTATTAAGCATGAATCATATAATTGATATTATACATTCAAAATTAGAATGGACAGAAAATAAATGGAAAGAAGTTGGAGAAATGTTAGGAAATAAAGTATGAGATTCACGCAAATTAGTCACAGAAATAAAATCAGAAATACAATTACCTGCCTCTCTCAATGCATATCATGCAAGTTTTCCAAAATTTTTAATGGGATTTTTTGATGGATTAATCGGCGAAATTTTTAAAAAAAATTAATAATTTTAAATAAAAAACGAAAACAGCATGACAAATCTTTAAAACAACTAGATAATGAACATATTACCAAATGTATAACATTTATTGTTTCGCTTATTGTGAGCATGGCATTTCCTTATCTTGACATTTGGTTTACTCAAGTAATGGCTAGTATATCTCGTAAATCACAGCTTTTTTCATCATTCTGACGACTATTATCTACTCTTCATATAAGTGGTCATACTGATGGTCATAAAATCCAAATAGAAAAATATCAAATAGCTAAAGTTAATCCAAATGAAAGATTATTAAAAGGGTCAAATATATGGAATTTGGCTGTTATAGATAATATAGACTTTAAAGACAAAACTTTTACTTATGGAAATATATTTGATACAACTCGTAAAAGTTCTCATACAATACTCAGAATAGTATTTCAAATGCAAATGCCAATTTCTTTAGAAGAAAAAGCAGATGATAAAAAAAAATTACTTCATCATTAGATTTTTTTGGTATGAATGATTTAATGAAAAACACATAGGATATGTTTGATGAGATTATTGATAATCTCCTAAATTTTCAAACAGATTCTAAAGGAGAAATTATTTATGACACAAACTTTGATATGATAACTATTCTCCAAAAAATTCTCAAAAATGTCAACTATAGTTGCTCAGCTGATATACCTAATGTAATCATATTAGAAACAGGTGGAATCCTGAATTCAGATGAAGGAATTTTTCAATCTACAGAAATGTATAAAGAAGATTTTGAATTAAAATCACATGACTACTTGAATGTGATAGCTGATGAAGCAATCTTTAGAAGACTTATTAAACAAAGAGAATAATAGCCAAACTTATGTCCTATTCTTGATCAATGGCATACTTCAAAGGATATATGTGGAGTCCTAATTGTATTATTTTTGAGCTATGAACTTTTTGATCTAGCAAAAACATTAGGAGTTAAATTTTTAGACAAATTAGATAAAGTTGTTGATTATCGTTCTACAGTTCGTGTTCTAGAACTAATATAATATGCAGTAACTATTGCTATTCGTATTTATATGAAAAAGACAAAT